CCTGCGGAAGATGGGCTAGATTCCAGCCACCGCAGTGCACGGGGGCGGCCGCCAGACGGGGAGGGAGTGGCCATTGCACGGGCGGAACGGGCAGAGTCTTTCTGGAAAATAAAAAATAGATAGCTACGTCTCATATGAATATGATCTTGACTGATGACACATTTGGCCTCTTGTGGCAGCCTCAAGCTCTGGTTCGTGGCGGTCCTCATCCTCTTCCTTGATTTCCACGGTAGCTGCTTTGTCCTGTCCTGCTCGCCTTCTCCTTTACTTCTCTTCATATTTTGTGAGTTTGTCCCATGACCACCATTGTCATCTTCTCGCAGGGATCGGCACTCTTGTATGGATGTCTGTGGTTCCTCTCGTGGTAAGTCCAGATTCCAGAATTTCTTCGTCCAATGGAATGGCCAACCCGCCAATTGCGATGTAACTCCAAACTTAACTAACATGTCATTTGCTGCCTTGTGTGCAACATCACCAGATCCTCTTGTGGGTTGGGACCAAGCTGGAGATGGTGATCATGGAGATGGCCCAGGAGATCCAGGACCGGGAGAGCGTCGTCAAGGGGGCTCCCGTCGTCCAGCCCAGCAACAAGTACTTCTGGTTCGACCGCCCCGACTGGGTCCTCTTCCTCATACACCTCACGCTCTTCCAGAACGCGTTTCAGATGGCACATTTCGTGTGGACAGTGGTAGTACGTACCAGTAATTGCCACTTCAGTCATGGATGCAATGCATGGCACCAAGTGCTGCTGATGAACTGCACTGACAGAGAGCTTTGTTGCATCGCAGGGCACGCCCGGCTTGAAGAAATGCTACCATCAGAAAATGGGAGTGAGCATCGCCAAGGTCGTGCTCGGGGTGGCCGCCCAGATCATGTGCAGCTACATCACCTTCCCGCTCTACGCGCTCGTCACGCAGATGGGCTCACACATGAAGAGAAGCGTCTTCAACGAGCAGACGGCCAAGGCGCTGACCAACTGGCGAAAGGTGGCCAAGGAGAAGAAGAAGGCCCGAGACGCCGGCATGCTGATGGCGCAGATTGGCGGCGACGCGACGCCGGGCGTCGGCTCGTCGCCGGTGCACCTGCTCCACAATGCCGGGGCGCGGTCCGACGACCCCGAGAGCGTGCCGGCGTCGCCGAGGGCCGAGAAGGAGGGCGGGGGCGTGCAGCGTCCGGCTGCGGCGCTTCCGGTGCGCAGGGTACCTCCTTGTGACGGGTGGAGGTCGGCCTCGTTGCCGGCCCTCGACGCTCACGTCCCCGGTGCAGATTTTTGCTTCAGTACGCAACGTTGATCGATCAGACAAATTCATTCATTATTATTTTCGTGAATACTCTTGGAACCGTATCATTTCATTGACAGAGAGTAGAAATAGAAATTACAGGGGTGGCTGTCCTACTACTATGTATACAAGGGCGCAGCAAAGGATGCCGGTGAGCAGTAGAAAAGGGTTGCTCTCCATTGATCTAGTTATAAGTGTATGTCACAAATTGTTTCAAAAAAGAGTGTATGTAATAAGAATTGCAAGTTTCACTGATTCAAAAATGAACGTGCAAACGCCCGGGCGGACAGGCCGGTCAACCGGTCACAAAAATTTGACCAAGATGGGCTCCTTACACGGACCTCAAAAGTCCGGACTGACCGACACCCTCATATCCAGCACAAATAAGGAGCGAGTATGGAGGCGCCCGGACGCATTCATCACGTCGGACCCGACATCCCTAACCCATCTCAAATTGCACCAAATCCATGAAACCCTTCCTCCTCCTCCCGCCTCCCTCCTACCTTTCCCGCGCCCAAGCCCTCGCCGTCCGTCACCCTTGCTCCACATCCTCACCACCGGTCTCGATCCACGGCCATAGATGTGTCGTCAACCCCGTCCCCGGTGGCCGCGAGGGTGACTGCGTCCGCCTCGTCCGTCGGCGTCCCGTCCTCAGCTCTGTCGTGCAAGGCGGAGAATGTCGCTCGGAGCATGCTACAACACCGACAGAGCGAGAGGGAAGCGGCGGCAGGGTCGCAGGGAGATGCGGACATGAACAAGCAATTGTCCACCCGCCCCCACGTGTGCCGCACCCGAACCCCACACCCCATCCATCCGTCGCCGAGGCGGATTGCACCCTCGGACCATGCGTTGGGACAAAGGAGGATCCATACTGCCGGTTGGGGCATTCCGGTGAGCTTTCCGCCGACGCAGATGCCGGCGGTAGAGGTATGTCACTCGTTGTAGCTCGTTCGAGCACGGATGAGTACCGGCACCGGCGATGCCCAGGCTGCCCACGACCTGTTCGACGGGATGACACGACAAGAGTCGATATGTTTTTGTTGCTCATGTCTGATCAACTTTGCATATGTCATATTCAATGTTGCATAGAACGCTAGTTCATTTCGTGCATGATGAATGCTTGCAAACCATGATCATTTAGGAGGTGTTCCTATCGGACATGATCAATGACAATCATGGTCCGACCCAAATGGAGTACGAATTGGGGGCATCCCATTTGATGTTGGGAAAACATTAGATCCCAGTCCGAGCAAGAAGAAGAAGAAGGGAAAGACGGCAAAGGCAAGAGGTCCGGCATTCTCAACTTTTGAGGACATCTTGTTGATCAAAGCTTGGTTGGCCACAACAATGGATCCAATATGCAGCACTGAGCAAAAAGGAAACAAGTATTAGAAAAAGATTTGGAAGGAGTATCACGAACAAAAGGAATATGTGAAGCTACATCCTATCGCGACCAACCGTAATGTGGCATCTCTCCAACATCGATGAGGGGTCATTCAAGGGGAAGAGAACAAGTACGTCAGCCACTGCTTATAAGTGACCAAGCACCCTCAAAATGGGATGTGAGTGGAAACTCACGTAAGTTCAATTGCTTCATCTTGTCATCATTTGCATATGCTTCTTGTGTTTGCATTCTCGTGCTCATACATATGTTGTTTGCTAGACGGCGATGGCGGCCACTTTGTATCACGAAACAGAGAAGAAGCCGTTTGATTTTAGCCATTGTTAGATCATATTGAATGGAGTGTCAAAGTGGACACAATTTGTGGTTGATCTCAAGGCCGGCAAGAAGAGGAATGATGGCTCAAGCTCCCTCCAGTCAATCGGGTTTGACGTTGAAGAGGACGATATTATCGTCGAGAATGGAAGAGCCACCATGCCAAAGGATAACCTGCGAGTCATGGGAAACAAGTGGGAGAAGGCAAGGGCCTCCCGTGACGCCGTGACTACAAAAATGTCCTCCACATGGAAGAGGGCGCAGAAGAAGCTGGAAATTGAGAGGGAGAAGATCGAGTTCGAGAAGCAAGAGGCGGCGATCAAATGGGAGCTTGAGAAGGCCAAGACACTTGGAGAAATTGAGCTTGAGAAGGAGATGTTGTAAGGGAAGCGGAGGATGCGAACATCATGTTGGTGGACAAAACCCTCTTAGATGAGCAAGCAAAGAGGTGGCTTGCGGAGAAGAAGAAGGAAATCAGCGAGCGTAGGGAGTACGAGTCGGCGAGGGCGACTGCAGCAATAATGAAGCATGCGGCAAGGATACAGGTGGAACATGCAACCCGGATGTAGGCGGAGCAGGACGCAAGGATGGCCTCAAAGCAGGCAACATGGACGTCCGGCCAGTGATCCGGCCAGCAATCGAGGCATCCGTCACGTTTGGACATTTATTTCATTTTGGCATGTTCGAATTATTGAACCGTGAATTTCCTTTGCTTTGTTTCGAACCGTTGAATTTGAACAATTTGTATCTTATGATCGACGTGCATGGATTGCATGGATTTGAGGCTCCGCATTTGAGGTATGTAGATGTGCGACAACCCATATGAGGGGCTGGCGGGCAATGTCCGTGGATATGCTTGGACGCGCCTGCGGGTGTATAGGGAACGGATTTGCCAAGTCCGGTTGTAGATGCCTTAAGTACACGAACCAATCAAGGGCCGCTTTCATCTCAACCAAGAAAAACTACACTAAATGGTAATAACTCAGATAACTATAAAAAAGGGCGTGACTAGGTCTCAGTCGACTGAGATTTAACTAAGTCTTCACCGAGTGACATAACATGCAGGAGAGAAAAAGAAAAACTGAAAAAAATTGCACTGATTTTCATGTGAGATCTCACGAATATATTATCGACTAAGACTTAACAAAGTCTCAGTGAACTGAGACTTAGCAAGACTGATAAAAACGAGCTCTTAAGAAAATAATCCGTAGCAATGTAACACATGCATCAAGCTATTAGGAGATAAACGACATACAAGTCTTGATCTCGTGACCAAATTGGTCGGAACTATCCGCATGTAGCATGACTGCATGAGTGGGGTATGAAAGGCATCAGATTATTCCCTGAAATCCTAAATCACACTGTTGAATACAGTGGTACTACTATCAGTAGCAGTAGTTCTCTGGGTCTAATGGACATGCAGTAATAGGAAAACGATGAACCCGATCAGAGGTTAAGTAGCCACACTCAACTGAACTTACTTGAAGCAAGCGGCAGTGCCCTGCTGGAAGAAAACTATACGCGATCGCCAGTTCTTTTCTGAACTTTCTTGATGATAACTTTGACAGGAAAAATGGTTGAACTAGAAATACAGCAAATTCATAGATATGCTAGGCACAGGCATGCAAACCAACTGTAATACTTGACCAAATCGAGGCCCCAATATGGTTTTCACTTTTAGTTTCAGATATTTCAAGTAAATTTCAATGATTTCGGTTTGCATTTCGGCCAAAGCGAATTCAACCAATTTTTTTAAAAGAAAAACATTTTTAAGTCTTGTGTTGTACTGAAATTGCTGAAATGTTTAAATATTTCAATGTCAACTGAAATTCAACGGATTTCAGAGTGAAAGCCTACTTCGCGATCGAGTCCATGAAAACAGGCCAGTCACGTCAAAGAGAATGTACAGACATCGATGTGAAACTCACATTCACTGATTCACATCCGCAGACACATTATGCATCCATGCCATTGCCATGTCCAGACTCACTTGCTAGAGCACGTCATGGCAAGAAACGGGCGGCCCTGTGGTCGCCGGCGGTCGCGGAGGCGGAGGAGGACGCCTCCTCCATGGACTCGCACTTGCGGCACCGCTTGGGCTCGGGCGGCATCTTGCGGGGCGCCGCGTCGGCGACGACGACGACGACGCGGCGGCAGGAAGGGCAGGAGGAGTGCGCGCGGAGCCAGGCGTCGACGCAGGCGACGTGGAAGCCGTGGCCGCACTGCGGCAGGACGCGGATCTCCTCCTTCCCCGCGTACTCCGACAGGCAGATGGCGCACTCCGAGAGGATCCCCTCCTGCCCCTCCCCGGCCGCCGCCGAGGCCGTGCCGCCGCGCGCCGCGACGGCCGCCGCCACGGCGTCCTCGTACGCCAGCTTCGGCAGCGCCATGAGCGCCCTCTTCTTGAGCCCCTTGTTCGCGTCGGGGCCGGAGGAGGCGGCGGATCTGGTGCCCCCAGCGCCGCGGCGGGAGCGCGCGCAGCCGGTGACGGCGGCGAGGCCGACGACGCAGAGGAGCGCGCAGAGCAGCGCGGCGAGGATGACGACGACGTCGGAGTCGGCGCCGAGGGCGTCGGGCGGCTCGGCGGCCTGGAACTGGCCCGGGTAGGTCTGCAGCAGGCGGCGCGCCGACGCCATTGGTTGCCGCCGGGGCCGGTTCGTTCTTGGCCGGATCACCGGATCGGGGCGTGGTGGAGTGGAATGGCAGCGGCGGGCAGGCAGGGGAAGGGGGAGGCTGGAGTTTCAGCACGGCAGTACTCCTACTAGTAATGGCACGCGTATTAACGCGGGCTTGAGAGCGACAGCCGGGAGCGCTGGCGCTGGTGCACCATGGTCACTCTCACTCACTCCGTGTGCTGCGCTGCGCTGTGTGTCTGCAGCGTGCACCGGCCAAATTTCGTGTTTTGACCTTTTTGTAAACAAAATCAAGATCTGACCCCGTTCGAAAAAATTTCGGGATCTGACCCTTTTGCTACCGCCAGAGCCCTTGGCGGTAGGGTTAGACAGGCTACCGCCAGATACCCTGGCGGTAGGGTGTGACGGAGGAAGACGGGGGCCGTCACCGCGCGCTGACGTGGATAAGTACCTTACCGCCAGACAACCAGGCGGTAAGCTGTCTAACCCTACCGCCAGGGGATCTGGCGGTAAGGTGTGTGGCAGGATTTTGCCGTGCATGCCTTCTGTAACGAGATATGCAAGCGTCCTGGCGGTAGGTTCACTCTACCGCCAGGGCCCACGGCGGTAGGCTGTCTGACCCTACCGCCAGGGTGCCTGGCGGTAGGGTCCTGTGTTTCGTGTAAAATTTTGTAGACATAAAAAGTTTGATCACATCCAAATAGTGTGATCACAATTTCATAGAAATATGCAAGGGCCCTGAACATAAGAACCAATAGGCACAGTTTCATAGACATAAGCATAATTAGTTTTGCCATTACAAATTAAGAAACAAATACCAAATAACATAGTTTGATCATAATTTCATAGACATAAACATAACATAGTTTGATCACAATTTCATAGACATAAACATAACATAGTTTGATCACATCCAAATAGTTTCACGAAGCCAAAATAGGTAGCAATTAAACATTACAATCATCAGCAGCCACACGCATATATAGTTTAGATGGTATCGATGACGATCATCATCTTCAAGCCTTGACGGTTGGTCTTCCTGATAGTAATAAGGATGTCCTGTCCAACATGAAGATTCTTGTCAACGAGGAAGCTCTTCCACCCATCTTTACTTAAATGTGTGCGACCGTCCGTTTCCACGCCGTACACACAAGTAGTGACGGGGCCCCTTGCGGTAAGGCGTATTCCAGCATAGCCTTCTTCGTCAGCCTCGATGCCACAACTCTCAGATAGGCTCTTTGGCAATTTCTGAATAAGAAAAACATATCAATTGATAAGTATGGATTATTTAAACTATTAACAATTCCGTGGATTCTACACTAATAACATACCATGACATGTCGATCGATCATGGTACTTGGCGCCCCGATCAACTCTGCACGTGGCAGAAAGTTGTCCCATAGGTTGCACACCTCCCGTTCGCTCAGCCTCACTCTTTGAGCACAGATGGTTTCCTCAAGTGGGTCTTCATAGTCATCATCCTCATCAAGTGGTGGTGGTGGCGCCATGTTCCTTATATAAGCATTGATTGGATAAAGTTAATTAAACATCAATATTTGTTCTAATGCAAGCAAAACAAATATCTACAATATTCACACAATAAATCATCACATATGGCTATAAGAAAGACTAAACCTAAGGTTCATCTAGGTTCTAGGGTTCATCATATCAACTAGAGAGGGTTCATACATTAACCACCTACCAATTTTACAAAACATACATCTTCACAAATTTGCAATACATTAACCATCTACGAATTTTGTTATGCCTTTATCCTCACAGTCTTGCATTCAACATACAGAAAGATTTGCCCCAAAATCATATACTCCTAAACAACTAAAACATCATAAAAGAATCAACACCAAAACCTAGGTTGCACCTAGTGCCAAAAATAACTTCAAAAATAAAAAACCATTGCGAAAACTGATTGGAGGGAATGGAGGAGCTTACCGGCCTCTTCGATTTGCCCAAAGATCCGCGAAAATGGTGGAGGGAAGAGGGAGATCGAGGGAGGGGATCGGGATGAGGAGAGAGGCGGCGCTCGACTCTGTTCGAGTCGAGGGGAGGAGGAAGAACGGGCTGGTGCGTGGGTAGGGCCCGCCCGCAGCATCACTTGCCTCTTCGGTACCTACCGCCACCACCTCGGGCGGTAGGCCACCGAACACTACCGCCTCAGACTGTGGCGGTAGGCCCTTTCCCCCGTCAGTACGCGCCGACGGCCGTCAGTCGCCGTTAGAGGGCCTACCGCCACTGATGATGGCGGTAGGACGTGCAAACCTACCGTCAGTCCTCCTGGCGGTAGTCAAAAGGGTCAGATCCCGAAATAGTTTCAGACAGGGGTCAGATCTCGAATTTCTTTGTAAAAAGGGTCAAAACACGAAATTTGGCCGCGTGCACCACGGTCACCAGTGACGCGAGCAAGATATGAGCCGGGGAATGAGAATCCGGGGTGCATCACTTGGCCTTGTCAATTGATTCTCTTGGCCGTGGTTATTACATGCGTGTACCGGCGGGCGGCGGCGGTGAGTAGGTAGGCGGCTAGGCGCGGTGCAGTGCAATCCGTAGCGAGGAGGTGAGTGGCCGGCGATGCAGACATAGGTGGGTGGTGGGGGCTGCCTTGCGCTTGCGGTCACGTCACCTTCTCTTTTCCGATCCATGGAGCCGTGTTCCCTCTCTCGTAGGGTCTAGAAACGAAACGAAACGAGCGTCCGCAATGAGCACGCCACCGGTGGATGGATGGGTCGTCTACCTGCTCTTCTCGTGCCGAGATGAACGCACAAGACTTTGGTTGCCCATTTGCGTCACCCAATCAGTTCGATCGATGTACACAATAGCTCTAAAATGCAAACCAACCCATGTGGTTGAATGGTTAAGTCACAGTGGTATCTCAACAAGCTTTGCTATATCCACGGACGTTTTACTAGGAGAAGGCAGTAACTACGCAAATAAAATTAGGACACTCCAGCCTCTACGTAAAGGACGTAGGAATTGGTACATAAGTCTAGCATTTTTTATCACCAGTCTATCATGGTTCAAGTCCTAGTGCTCGCATTTATTTCAGAATTTCCGACGATGCGCGTTCGACCCGCCATAGCGACCTTGTGCGACTGTTGCCCGCTGCTTACGGAGGAGCCGCTCCGCTTCCTCCTGCGTGGTGCGGAGGGCCGCCGCGACCAATGCCAATGGCGCCCGCGGAGCCCTGGTGGCGGCCTTGCCCCTGCCGGCATTGGCGGAGTAGTCGCCGAGCGACCACTTCTTGCAGATCTTGGCGAGCTCGCCGTTAAGGCGGCGTCGCCTGGCGGCCGTCTATGCGGCGTTGTCTGGCGGCCGTCTATGCGGTGGTGATGGAGCGGCTGGGGGCCCAGGCGGCGGCGATGTCAGACTCATAGTGGGCCCATTTTCGCGTCGTGTCTGAATTGGCGTACGCGGAGCGACGGGTGATGTTCTGCCGCTCGTAGCGTGCCTGTTGCCTCTCCGCCCCCTCCTCCTTGGACAAGACAGTTGTTGAGTCCGAGTGACTGTCGCCATTGCCACCTTCGAGGTAGTGGAGGATGCGGCTGATGGAAATATGCCCTAGAGGCAATAGTAAAGTTGTTATTATTACATTTCATTATTCATGATAAAGTTTATTATTCATGCTAGAATTGTATTGACCGGAAACTTAAATACATGTGTGGATACATAAACAAATATTGTGTCCCTAGTGAGCCTCTACTAGACTAGCTCGTTGATCAAAAGATGGTTAAGGTTTCCTAACCATAGACATGTGTTGTCACTTGATAATGTGATCACATCATTAGGAGAATGATGTGATGGACAAGACCCATCCGTTAGCTTAACATATGATCGTTCAGTTAATTGCTACTGCCTTCTTAAATGTCAAATACATATTCCTTCGACCATGAGATCATGCAACTCCCGGATACCGGAGGAATACCTTATGTGCTATCAAACGTCTCAACATAACTGGGTGATCATAAAGATGCTCTACAGATATCTCTCAAGGTGTATGTGGAGTTGGCGTGAATCGAGATTGGAATTTGTCACTCCGTGTATCGAAGAGGTATCTCTGGGCCCTCTCGGTAATACAGCGTCACAAGAAGTTTGCAAGCAAAGTGACTAAGGAGTTAGTTATGAGATGATGTATTACGAAACTAGTAAAGAGACTTGCCAGCAACAAGATTGAACCAGGTATGGAGATACCGACGATCGAATCTCGGGAGAGTAACATACCGACAGATAAAGGAAACTACATATGTTGTCATAAAGGTTCGACCGATAAAGATCTTCGTAGAATATGTAGGAACCAATATGGGCATCCAGGTCCCGCTATTGGTTATTGATCGGAGAGGTGTCTCGGTCGTGTCTACATCATTCTCGAACCCGTAGGGTCCGTACACGTAATGTTCGTTGACGATATAGTATTATATGAGTTACGTGAATTGGTAACCGAATGTTGTTTGAGTCCCGGATGAGATAACGAACATGACGAGAAGCTCCGGAATGGTCCGGAGGTAAAGATTGATGTATAGGCCAAAACTATTTGGTCTCCGGAAAGGTTTCAGAATGCATCGGGGTTTTATCGGAGTGCCGGAAGGGGTTCCGGGAGGCCACCGACCCTTGGTGGGCCTCATGGGCCAAAGAGGGGAGGCGCACCAGCCCACTAAGGGGTTGGGCGCGCTCCACCTCCCTTGCCCACGCGCCATGAAGGAAAGGGGGGCGTCTAGGCAGGGCAGCTGCCGGTCCCCCTCCTGCGTTCTCCTCCGTACCCGAATAAGGAAAGGGGGGAGGCGCCTAGGGCAGGAGGCCAGGGCTAATCGCCGGCCCCCTTGGGGGTGCCCTAGGGCTGCCTCCCCTCCCCCACCTATATATATGTGAGGAGGGAGAGGGAAAACACACACCACGATCCCCAAGCAGTGTGCGGCGCCCCTCTCCCTCTAGTTCATCCTCGGTCATAATTTTCGTAGTGCTCGATGAAGCCCTGCAGAGATAGTTGCACCACC